AAACTTATCAGGTAGAAGTTGTTACCTTGATCTAACACCAAATTCTCACCACTAATTTACAAGGAAATGTGGGGGGAAGGAAGGGGGAAACTACAGAGCTGCTCATGCGTACTGCCATATCTAATTATGCAAGATAATCATGTGTATGCATACGATACTAAAAAATAAACGCGTGCAATTATACATTCAAGAAATTCTTAAAGCATTCAAATTTACGTATGTGTGGTTTTATACGCGGGTATTTTAATCCACCTGTAGAGAATGGGCCTTTACGTGCAAGTGCACGAGAGCAGAATGGAAAATTGCCACTCAAAAAGGAAACTTTTTTTGTTATAATGTCGAAAGTACAGGCTTGACACCGAACCTTTCTGCTGATAATTCAACGCACAAATCATGAGGGCTAGCGGGTCCATTTTAAATCTAGAAAACTAACTGTCCAGTGTTTTACGAGTACAGAACCACGAAAATTTTAAATGTGTCAACAGTCAATCTGCATTTAATTTTTACGAAATTTGGAGAAAAATGAAGCCTAAGGCAAAAAAAAAAAAACAACAACAACAACAACAACCATCTGGTGCACAGTAACACATGATTGACAATATGTGAGGTCCGCGTGACGTGCGTGACCTGCCACAAGTATGTCAAAGGTCGAGCAACAACGTAGTCGCATGACTATGAAATTAACTCCATGTTAGGACCGAAAACGCTGACCTTCAGATTTGGCTGACGGAGAATTAAAAGAAAGTTGTGCGTTTTCAAAAAGATGGTGGAACATTGCGCATGATAAGGACACTGTAAGTACTGACGTTATGTGGTCTAAAAAATCATCCTCTCGAAAGGTTGCACAAAGGAGCCCTGTTTTCCACACTAAAATGCTAATTATACATGATTCAAAGGTAGAAACAGTTTATTCACCTGTGATGCCACCTTGATTTTCGAGAACGCAGTAAAAAAGTCTATTCACTGGGGCACAGCCTTCATGCGGAGTTAAAATCAAATATCTTCCACAATCGCTAACTTCTGCACCTCTGCAAGGCAATTGTTGAATAATAATATTATGTCCAGGTAAATATTCATGCACAAGTAAGCCTGTATGTTTAAATGGCGTGCACAACCATCACTTTGTAACTTGAGGTACAAAAAATGATTATCCGTAAAAAAAAAAAAAAGGTTTGATGTAATCTGTCCTATAACGACTCGTAAATTTTGCAAAATTCGCGTCAACTCAATTCGCCTTAATTTCTATCATCTTTGAATTCAGCGCTCCTATTTAAGATTTGTCTATTTCTACGAATCAAAATTTCTACTATTTCAGTTTGAAATTCTCGATACACTCTAGCACGAGAGCTCTTAACTTCCGACATCTTTTACAATCCTTAGCCCCCCACCCACCCCTTCCAACCGCTGCCCCTCCCCCCTTGAAAAAAATTTGGCCACTCTGTGGCGAGATTACTTCCTTTAGCCACCAAGACACAATTGCATAAAAAACATTTCGGTTGGAGATTTTTTGTTCCTCTGTGTAATGCTAAATTTGTTTGCGCATGGTCTCTCCATAATTGGTGTTCAATTAAGTAAGTTGCACTGATTTCCCTCGTTTTGCAATTTCACCACCTGCTTCAATTGAATTTCCTTTCAAATTTAAGGGAAATTTTCTCATTGATTGCCATTTATAAAGCATCCAATCTGGCATAAACATTAGTTATTAATAATAGGTGAAAAAAATTAAGTTACGCAGTTTTATTCCCACTTCTTTCACTTGATTCAATGAAAACACAATATCAACGGACCCAGTTATGCCTTTACAAAAATCACTTTGGCAATGTCACATTATACTGGGAATAGAGTAATACATCAAACTTCACCCAAAGGCGAAATATTGTTTAATAATAATAAAAAATGTAAAGGAAATCTTTTGCCAAGAGTATACCTATCATATTTTTTTGGAGGACAAAAACACCTCCAGGTAAGTTCAAAGGCAGTTTGTTTTTGTTGTTGTAGTTATAGCCAATTTATTAGTTTGTTTTGTTTTGTGTTTCTTATTTTTTCCTAATTCCAAACTCTACAGAATAAGCTGTTATGTTAACAATAGATAATAACTTACATAGACCACTTGGGGTGCTCTGGAAATTCACTACAAAGAACATCTTCAGATTGGCTGGTTCCCAGTACATGGTAATAAAGCTTTTAGTAAAACGAAGACAAAACCATACTCAATCATGTTACAAAATTAGTCCCAGTAAATTAACGGGCCCAAAGCTGTATTTTTTAATCAAAATTAATACACTAGAGAAGCAGTTTGTGGCTTCCCGACCAGTCCATTTTGTTTCTTTAGCAAAATATTTTATTAAATAGCTTTCAAAACTTTTTAAACCTTCTTCTCGAATGAGACCACAACAGCTCTGTGGGCCTGATAAGATACAGGGAACTTCGAGGAACAGGCCCCTGTTTACTAATGTACCATCAGAGCCTTACATGCCGATGCGCCACATTAATTTGATCTTTCAACTAAATTTAGAATGCCAGGCCATTAAAAAAACAAAATATAAGCAATAGAAAATAGAAATAGAAAAAATAATGAGCCACCTAATACATACTGATGACTTTGCTCTATATGCATCCTTGACACACAGCATATGCGTATATACGTAGACACATTATATGCATTTGGTGCTGATGTGTTATTCGCCTATGTTTTGGTTCGCATTACTCTAACCTGCACATGTAAATTCACACATGAACATCTGAATATATAACCTTTAGCTGTAGATCTTATTAATTGCAATGGGTGGTCGTTAGCCGTCATTGCTGTTCAACTTGTATATGCACGATGACCATTAATTTTGATAAAACTGTGTTAAGGATAAAAAGAGGCTTTTAAAAATTTGTATTTCGAGTCCATTATTTACCACTAACCTTTTGATTGAGGTTTAGATCAGTTTCTGTTCCATCTGCTTTTTCACCAGTTGGGTAACGCTTAAAATTTGAACATCATTTATATCAGAACCAATTAACTGAACATCATATTTAGTTATTGACAAAATAAATAGACCTAACAAAAAAGTATTTAAGTCGCATCAGCTTCCATCATCACATCAACAATGGGAAATTTATCTCTCTGAGCCACTAGCCCGCAGTACAGGTGTGCTACTAGGGCGTGTTAGTATACTGTAAGCTTGCAATCATTTATCAAACTGGCCATGATTAATTTGGAGTTAGAGTAGACTCTGGGGGTAGGGGGTGGGGAAAAGGTGGGAGGAACATTAACTGGCCCAATAATCAGTTGCTGTCTATGAGGTGAACCCCTGTTTCTTCTTGAGGAGAAGGAGGGTGACAGAATGGATGTAAGAGATGGAGAATTTTAAGTTAAACCTTTTGAGCTTATTTATCGGACTCCAAAGATGAGAGGCTCACGCTCAAGTTTGCCATCTCATGCATTTTTTTGTTTAGTTCTCCTGTCATAGATTGGAGTCCTCCCATATTACAAGAGAGTGTATTCAACAAATTTTAGGAACATGTTAGCCAGCAAAATTTTTAGTGCCCTTGGCAGAATTTTCCCTTTATTAGAGGAAACATTTTTGGACACCAATAAAGTCATTCAGTGATGAAGAAATTAGTTCTCACATTGTAAAACAATCCCTTATTATCATGTGTCCAAGCCATACTTGTAAACTTTGCATTCTCTAAAGTGTCTGGCAAATGTACTTGACCATCCACCTTCATAAACTCGGAAAAGAAAAGCAAACAAAATTTCATCCTTATTTCTGCTTGCACCAGAAAACCAAAATTGTTTATGGGTGATTACACTTTAATATTAATCTAATTTAATATCTGCCTTGCTACGAAGTCAGCAGAATTTTATCTGGAGTAACTTTTAAACCCAGAAAGATTGAAGTTAATAAGACATAAATGAATGACCTTACTTGAGTTTCAGGACATTGTTGCCAGAAATTTGATTTTAGTCACATTTTGTTTAAAGGAAACAATAAAGAAACAATAGTATTGATGGCAAATGATTATCTCATTTTGACTTTAAACTAGTGAAACATTAAGTGACAAAAATGGTACAGCTATTTAAACTTACATGTAAATGATAGGTCATCAAATTGGTGATTTTTAGCGGCAAATTTGGTCACTTGTTATGCCAACCAAAACAGACCCAGCTTAGAGCACTGAGTAATCAAATCATTTTGCAAGTATTCTTTCAATACCTTTATGGTGACCCAATCTGATCCCTTATTTGACAAAGAATAAGCAAAGAACTCTCCATCATCAGAGAAAGATCTTCCAGCCAATGCCACAGTTCCATCCTCAGAGAGTTTATTGGGGTCAAGAAATACTTGTGCTTCACTTTCCATTGAGTCTTGCACATACATAACACTACAACGTATATAAATCCCACATCAACATGAATCAAACATCAAGCAAGAGATAAAAACAGTGATACATCTTATACAAATGTTAAGAGTGCATGAAGTGATCTAAAGGACATGCTTGTTGCTGTCACAGAAAACAGTTTTCAGTTTTTTCAGTATTACAGTAGCCTGAACAGTCAGTCCCCACAATAAACTCTTTTCCCATGGTTTAAACTTTTCAATGAATGTTCTTGTAAGCCAGATGCAGTCAATCTTCCAGTTATTAAAGAGATCATTATAGGGATACTGTACTGAAGTAAGGTTTTAAATTTTATATTACAATGAAACTTTACATAACTGACTGAAACCACATCTGCCTGTTACTACTTCAGAACGATCGACATCAATAAATCAGTCACACTACATGATCAAATGTAAATCTTGCCCAAATATCACAGTTTTAACTGTTAAATTACAAGAATTTAGCTCCAATAGAATGCTTTTTTAATTGCAAAATGTGGTTGGCAAGTCAATCAGGATCTTGTCCTTTCATTGTGCACTGTGGCTGAACAGCAACTCAAAAATGAAATGCACAAAATGTGTGGGAAATCATTTCACCTGGTTTTTTCAAAAGTTTTTTGAGCGACAAAGACCTCTGTCTCTTGGATACATCACCTTTGATTTTGCAGACCAGAGTTATGGAGGTAAAAGTACTTTGATCCTCTCTTAAATGGACAGCCATACTTTGGATAGTCCCACATCTCAGTCAGCCTAAAATCGACAGGTACCAATTGAATCAACTGAGCCACTGGAATAAAAATTATCTGATCACACTAAACTATTGTACTTCATACATTTTATTTCCTTTATTTGATTGTATTTATTTGATTGTATTTTTCTTTTTAATTTGATTTATAACATAACCAAAGCAAAGCGCGCGCTCTGATTGGTCAATTTAGCGTCCCCCATTTTCCCATGGGTGTACACTGCTGACGTGAGCAAATGCAAAGACTATTTTTCCGCGTGCACTTGTTTTTTCTGGTCATGTAAGATTTGTTAAATAAAAGGGAACTCTTTAGCTACAATGTATCAATGTTATGTTATAAAACAAATGGTAAACACCACAGCGTACACTATTGAGTTATGGATGCACTTGGGAGGTTTGCTAAGCACTCAAGAAGCTAGAGTCGCTCTCGGCTATCGCCTCGAGCGACTCTTACGCTTCTTTCGTGCTTAGCAACCTCCCGCGTGCATCCATAACTCAATAGTGTACGCTGTGGTGTTTACCATTTGTTTTATAACATAACATTGATACATTGTAGCTAAAGAGTTCCCTTTTATTTAACAAATCTTACATGACCAGAAAAAACAAG